ACTCTTTTGATCAGCAGTGCCTGAAAATCGTGAGAAACCCATGAAATACTGCTCTTCAATCAAGATATGGTGCTTTTGGCTACTCGGACACATATAGACAATGTGATGACACTACAGTCAATAAACTACATTGCTTACCTGGTGGGCCCTACATATGAGGTCCATGTCATGTTTGTGGAGGAACTTGGCCACAACATCAGACCCAAAGGTGAAAGAGACACCACGGTCGTTCTCTCCCCACCCCATGACATCTTTATCTGGGTCAGCCCAGAGCAGATCACACAGCAAACCCTGGTCAGGGACATCTGTGGGCCTCATCACACGTCGGATCTGCTCCATAGATTGTAGGTCTGGAGAAAGACCTGGGTAAAGGATCGTTCAACTACAGTTTAGAAAGAATATTTTGAATTCATCCACACTAAGCACATCAAGAACCAACATTCAAGAAGTCCACCATTCCAAGACTTTATTTCACAAACCTGTGCATGTGATGAATGCACATTTTACAGGAAAATAAGCTACTGTGTGCGTTACAACACTGCAGACCTTTAGACAATATGCTCCTGCTAGGTTCTATTTGTCAAAAATACAATATTTCATATGTTGGTTATGCTGATGACTCTACCCATGACTTTACCTACCTGTCAGGAATTCTACAACAATGTAAATATGAACATTAACCTTACATATAATCATTAAGAGAATGCTACATTTCTCCATGTCCAAAATTACACCTTCCAGACAAGCATTTGATGATTTTGTAACGGTTTGTAAAGATTCTCCAAACCTCAAGTAGACAATCCAGAAAACTTGACTTACCTCCATGACAACAAAAAATCTTTTCATCCACAATAGCAGCTACTGGTAAGCAATTGAAACAGTCCGTGAATGTCTTCCAAAGCTTGATGTTATACCGCCTTTTACCTACCAAAAAAAAACATGCATGTTCAGACTGCAAAACGGTGATCTTCATTCAGATATATGCCTCACACTTGTAATTCAGTACGCTTGGTTGTTTTAGTCCATACCAAGAAAGAAAATTATACATTTAATCCTGGTTTGCTTAGCATTCACACTGACGTTTTTAAAGGTTTTTATGATGAATACTTTGTGATGGAACTTCCCGAACATCCAAAACAATGCTATGTGCTTGGCTAAACGCGCTCATGTTGTGTGTGAACGTGGTATTTTTACCAGCTGTCAACTCACGAAAAGCTTAGAAAATGTGTTAAGGACTCAAAACAACGGCAGGAACTCCTCCATTGCACATAAATGAAGATCTGCTGCAAGAAGACGTGGTTCTGATGCCTTTTCTGACCATAATGGACAACATTACAGCAAGCAACTATGACGAGAAGAACCAGGTATGCTTGCACATTCTGTCCTCTTTAAGGTCAAATGTTGTGGCTTCATTTGTTTTTGGTTTGTTTAGGTCCGTGCTGCATTCGTATTTTAATTGAACCGAACCAGAGTTCATTTGGACATGGACCGGACCCACTTATTCAGCAGTCTTGGTCCTCTTGTTTGGTGTGCGCCAGGGTTCAGATGGCAGCATTCACACTTATTCAAATGAACTGCAGTGATCAGAGCAATCGCACCAGTGTTTGTTTTAATCAAACCAAACCTGCCAAATGTGTACGCACCCTAAACCATCTCTTAATCTTTTAGTTACTCTCCATTTAGTTGCAATCCTAAATGCATGCACTCACAGCACGTGCAGAGACGGAGTTCCCTGCATTTACTGTGACCTGAGCTACTCTGAGACAATGAAAACACCAGATCGCAAGCTGCTCTGCTCTGATGAGAAAGTATCCTCCTCCCACACACACCCCATTTAACATGATAAACGAGCAGAGTAGTTTATAAGATCCAAATGCTTCAACTTAAGCAAACATTCTAAACATCTTTAAACAGTGAGACCTTCAGACCATGACCTAAGCTTTTGGTCATACCATCTACCCCCATATAAGCATACTCACATTCATCATAAAAGCCATATATCCTGTTGATGGAGGCACATTCGTGGTTTCCTCTGAGAAGAAAGAAGTTCTCTGGATATTTGACCTTGTAGGCAAGCAGCAGGCAGATGGTCTCCAATGACTGCTTGCCTCTGTCTACATAGTCTCCCAGAAACAGGTAGTTACTCTCTGGAGGATATCCTCCATACTCAAAAAGCCTGAGCAGGTCATAGTACTGACCATGAACATCACCTGCAGAAAGAAATAGAGTTAATTATTATTATTTTTTAAATAAGGCTTCATCAGAACTAAAATAAAAGCTGTGTGTACGGTTATCAGAACTTTACCACAAATTTTGAGTGGGGCCTCCAGTTCCAGCAGTATCGGCTGACTAAGGAAGATTTCCCGCGATTTCAGACACAATCCACGAATCTCATGCTCAGTTAACTGAACATTTTTACCAGGTCTGGAGCCCTTCACTGAAAATTGAAACAAGAAAAAAAAAAGCATTCATAAAAGCTTTATGAATAGCATATACATATTTGTGTATGTATCTGTATGTGTGTGTAAAGAACTGTGTTGTGAGGTCTGCTGTTGCATGACAAAAAAAGCCAACAGGGCCATGAAACATCAGCTCTCGCATCTACTTAAAAGACTGATGTAATAATAAGATGAAGTTTTAAACAAATGTGATGTAATACTAGGCCTATGATACTCTAATGCAACACTTGACATTAACTAAACATGCATGGTATTTTTCTCCAGATGCTACAGAATTTTATTTATTCATATTGCATTGCTTAATCTGAAAACCATAAATATTAGTATTCTTGTATGAATGAGTAAATGCATTAATTTTCCACATCTAGCCTATATAATCCATAAATTGTTTTATTATTATTTTTTTTAACACCATGTTAGCATCAGGGCTATTTACATGGAATTTTCAAAGGCGCATCTTGAGAGAAGAGCTGATGTCACATTTGGCCGAGAGATATTTAGCAAGTTAAATGTCTAGACCTGTCTGTGATCTAGTATCTACAATGACTTGTACTAGACTATCCCTTAATGACATGGTTTGAACCCCTTTACTTAGAAATGTTATAATATTTGCCTATTATCACATTATGACATGTTCTACAGTTTCAGCTTCACCACAATAATCACATAATCCATTTGGATGTTTTAATACAGATTTGCATTTAATCCTTAATGATTTATGCAGAGTCTGGATATTATTATTTTTTACTGTCATTCTACTTACATAACCTACTTTCCTTTGCATTTTTATTTTTGCCTCTTTGCCCACTGCTTTGTTATTGTTACTCTCTACTTCCATATGTGCTGGGGGGACCCAATGAAAAAAAAAGTATTGTAAGAAGTGTATTGATTATTTAATCTATATAACACCTAAAGTATTTAATATACTACGCCCTGAGCAGCAGTGAGCCTGCACATATTACTCCTCTCTCAAAGTTGACCTCTTTCATCCACTGGAGAGCCAGAAGAATTACAATAACTGACTAATACTCTCTTTCTTATGATAGCCTGATATATAGATATTTATCTTCTCCTGTTCTCCTAGTTTCTGGATCCTTTGACCCATCCATGAACATATCTTCCAATGTTGTGTATTTTTGTTTCATGTATTCGTTGACAATATACTCAACTCAAAGAATTTTATTTCCCTTGATTTTAACTAATAGGCTTGTGGCAATGTTGGACAGTGAAGCATCACGGTGGAACGCAGGCAATGACACTTTGACTGTATTTCCTACCATCAAGGGATCAATCAACTGTTGTTGATGTATTACTGTCAAAGGCATTTCTCCCATCTCTACTTGTCAATCGGGTAGCGACCTTAAAGAAGGGGTAATAATCAGGGGGTCAAAACTTGGCACAACACCGGTGACATCTTCCTAGTGGCTTTCTTCGTTTCCGAACGCGACGACTGACGCACTGCGCATGCGCTGAACTTTTGTTCGGATTACATGCAATAAACATACGAATGAAAATTTGAATTGGATTGATAGTGTTACGTATTCACACCTAATACTACACAACTACACATACGTTCGATTGCAGATGACGAAATGAACGCAAATAAAATAATACGTTTTCAGACGCTTAATCGCTATTTATGTTAAACATGATAAGACGGCACAGTTTGCAATAAGAAAGATTAACGCTTATTACCCTCCAAAAGGCGCTGGATGATCGAATCGATGTTTAACTTGTCCGAATCAGCCATTTTGTCGCTCGCTGGAGATTAGCCGGCTAACAGAGGCAGGAACAAGACGACCCAGGAAACCGCCAAGTACAATTATACGTCAATAACTTCAAAACAAATCCTTATATATAAAAAAAAAATCACACTACTGATAGCATTCCTGAGTTCATATTATGATATTATTGCCGTGAACGGTTCCTTCAGCAGCTCGTTGCGTGAGGTAAACTAGCACCACGACCGCTGACGGTTGTAGGAAACGCTTGAAAGGGGCGGGGTAGACACTAAATCGCGTATCTGATTGGTTATTCTCGACTCATGACGAACGCTTCAAATGCAGAACCGAAGAGCCAATAGGATATCCTGTGTGTCAATCTTTTCTATAGTTAATCGTTAACAAGCAAATTAAAACCACATTAATCAGTGTGTAATCTATGTTAACCCTAGTCATTATAGCGATGTAAAAACTTTTATCAGATTGGATGGTTAATATGCTTCATTAACACCGATTGCTAATAATTCATAAAATGTGCTGTTAAAAAATAAATTCGACATAAAAAATGGATTCGTTGTTCCGCCCTACGGAAGTTTTTTGTTTTGTTTTGTTGTCAAGATCAAAATACATGTATATGACAAACACTATACATGATATAAACAATAAACATTATACATGAAATAAACAATTTCACACTAGAGGGGCTGTATACAAATACAAATTTATGTAAAAATATTAAAGCGTTTACAAACTTTCTTCCGCCCTACGGAAGTAACCAACGATAGAAATGACGTAATGACGCAACCTCTCAGCCATCGACGCGATCAGAAAGCGACAGACAGTTCTCGAATCGTCTGATTCATTCTAAAGTGGCAGAATATGCAACTGCTGATGCGGAAACGTCACTTAAAGCGACGATGAAATGGAGTAGAACATTCTCATTTAAATATGCACTTTGTTTTTGAATAGCTAATCTCTTTGACCATGAAGTTGGCTCATAAAGACATCGAGAAGGATAATGCCGGGTGAGTTGTTTGAGAACACATGACTTGCGTCTTTCTGTACACCACTTTTGGACATCATGTGCGCATTCTGAGTTGAGTGCTGTGTACCATGATGCAGTGGTGGTATCATAGGACATCAACTGAGTACTTTGGTATAAATAAAATTGCGATAGTAGGCCTATAATGCTGGGGTCTCAAAACTCGGTCCTGGAGGGCAGGTGTCCTGCAGAGTTTAGCCCCAATTTGCCTGAACACACCTGCCTGGAAGTTTCTAGTATGCTTAGCGAGACCTTGACTAGCTGGTTCAGGTGTGTTTGATTAGGGTTGGACTGGAGCTAAACTCTACAGGACACCGGCCCTCCAGGAGTTGAGACTCCTGTATAATGAGTTTTGTTTGTTTGTCGAACTGACTTGAACTTAAAGTAAATTTGTAGATTTTTATGATTTAAAAAAAAAAATTCGGATTAAAGTTTTTTTGTTTTTTTCATATTTTGCTATATCTTAGTCTGTTTTCACCATGAAATAGTGAGACAAACAAATCAATGTGAAATATATTATTTATTGTCATTATTTGAGGGTCAGAAACAATGTTTATAATGCCATTCATTCAAGATTTTAATAATTTTATTGAAAACAAAGTAGATTTCAGTATTTCCCCATTCAATCAGATTGAAGCAGCACTTGCATGATTGAAAATAGCTGCCTGAGTGTGGTCTGACTTGACTTGGAATAAACTTACATGAGCAAAGTAGGCAACACAAACGTGAACATTTCTGTCTACTGTTTGTGGATTTCTTCCAGTCAGGTGACACTAATACCTGAGGAAGCAGAGGACATGTGGCACACCTACAACCTGCTGCATGTGGGCGACAGCCTCAGAGCCTCAACCATCAGGTCTGTCTCTCTTTTTTTTTTTTGGCCATACTGACCTCCATCTTTTTCCAGTTTTGGTTTATCACCCTTATTATCAGATATGTTTCTACTCAATGAAAACAATCCGATGTCACAAACAGGAAAGTGCAGACGGAGTCCTCCACAGGCAGTGTGGGCAGTTCACGTGTGCAAAAAAAAAAATTCGGATTAAAGTTTTTTTGTTTTTTTCATATTTTGCTATATCTTAGTCTGTTTTCACCATGAAATAGTGAGACAAACAAATCAATGTGAAATATATTATTTATTGTCATTATTTGAGGGTCAGAAACAATGTTTATAATGCCATTCATTCAAGATTTTTATAATTTTATTGAAAACAAAGTAGATTTCAGTATTTCCCCATTCAATCAGATTGAAGCAGCACTTGCATGATTGAAAATAGCTGCCTGAGTGTGGTCTGACTTGACTTGGAATAAACTTACATGAGCAAAGTAGGCAACACAAACGTGAACATTTCCGTCTACTGTTTGTGGATTTCTTCCAGTCAGGTGACACTAATACCTGAGGAAGCAGAGGACATGTGGCACACCTACAACCTGCTGCATGTGGGCGACAGCCTCAGAGCCTCAACCATCAGGTCTGTCTCTCTTTTTTTTTTGTGGCCATACTGACCTCCATCTTTTTCCAGTTTTGGTTTATCACCCTTATTATCAGATATGTTTCTACTCAATGAAAACAATCCGATGTCACAAACAGGAAAGTGCAGACGGAGTCCTCCACAGGCAGTGTGGGCAGTTCACGTGTGCGCACCACACTGACTTTATGTGTGGCGACGATAGACTTTGATTCCCAGGCCTGTCAGCTCATACAATAGCAACTATTGTTCCTGTATGTGCTGCAATAGATGTCTCTCAGTTACTGCATGTATATTTCAAAATATGATGTACATATTGCATACAGTGACACTGTGTTCTCTTTCAGGCATTAGAGAGATTTTATGAGGCTGTCATGCAGGGCATTCTGAGACACTTCAATTTTGATGGTAATTTTTTATTTTTTTTATTCAGATAATAAGGATTGACAGTGGACAATTAAATACTTACATTTTTGTTGTATTTATGTGTTTCTCAGTGGTGAAGTGTGTTCTGGTGGCCAGTCCAGGGTTTGTGAAAGATCAGTTCATCTCGTACCTCTTTAAAGAGGCTGTGAGGCAAGACTGTAAAATTCTCCTGGAGAACAGATCCAAGTTCATGGTGGTGCACTCCTCATCTGGACACAAATATTCACTTAAAGGTCAATACTCGGTTCACTTTTTTAAAGTATAGATGTGAAAATTTTTCATAATTGACTAGTAGGAATGCACAATATTACCAGAACGTTATTGGAATCGGCCGATAAAGGCCTAAAATATAAAACTTTGCATTGACTCGATTTGCATCGATGTCGATATGTCTAATAACTCACATGTGCTTGGGGTGTGCTAGCGATAAGATCACGTCAACAGTCACTGGCCCTGTACCAAATCACACCTTAAACCCTCGCGGTCTTCCTCTGAGTCCACACTTTCGTGACATAATGCTACTTTGACTGTCGGGAAGAAGTCTGCTGTGGAGCTCGGCAGAAGTGTGCTTAGAGGGTGCATAGCAGCCGCAAGGGGGCGCTCACAATCACCTTTCTGAAAGCTAAAATGATGAGCACCCTACGATCTCGTGGACTTAACGTACATGCGTATGTGGCAGCTATTATAAGACCGCAAGTGCACATGAAGTGTGCCATTTGGGACAGGGCCACTAGGGTGTGCAGAAGCAGCAACAACTTTATATTTATTTAGGGGGCGCTGTTGGGCGACTTGTAATAAAATGAAAGTAAAATACACAAATAACATTAAAGTGCCCCTATTATGCCATTTTTAAGGTTCCTAATATTGTTTTGCGAGTCTCCTACAATAGGATTACATGCATGCAAGGTCAAAAAACGCTTTCGTTTTCTCAAAATATGCAATTAATATCACCTCATTTTCAAGCGATTTGAAGCAGTTCTAAGATTGTCTCTCTAAACCCCTCCGTTCCGTGAGCCTAGTCTGCTCTGATTGGTCAGATGGCCCAGTCTGTTGTGATTGGTCTACCGTGTACATCGCTTGTCGGAAACGATACGCCCATTGCCGTAATTCTGTATTTTGAACGCTCAATAGAAAATATAAACATCTATTTTTTTATCATACTTACAGATTGTGATTCAGTGGAGCCAGCTGGTCCAAATAAACAGGGTACTGAGCCATCTTTCAACTCCCCGAGAAGCATTTGTCAGTAAAATTACGTGTTTGTGGGCTGGGTCAAGTTGTTCGCGGCTGGCCAACGTAGAACATAGGTGGGAATTAAGCAAACGTGTTAGCCGTCACAGAAGTGGGATTCATATTACTAATGACCTCTTTTAGGCTGTACCGAGTCGATTCTTTATTTTGGGAGACAATTACTTTATTTATCGTGCACTTTCGGCTTTATAGCTTTGTAGATTGTTTACATTCACATACAGCTACATTACACACCACATGAAAGGCAAAATTGGAAATGGCATAATAGGCCACTTTATGATAGTTGCATTTCTGAATAAATAAAGGAATAACTGATGTCATAAAATCACGAGTCTTTTGTTTTTTTAAAGGTCAGAAGCTATAGCTTGCATGAATAAAAATCACAGACATGACACTTGTAAATTAAGTCATTTCATAAATACAGATTTATTAATTAATGTGTAATACAAGGAAATCTTTTGCTTTAGACCAGGGGTGTCAAACTCAATTCTTGGAGGGCCGTAGCCCTGCAGAGTTTAAAATGATTTTTTTTTTTTTTTTTTTAATCTCTGCACTGGAGAGACTTGGTGTTGTTTCCACAAAAAAAAAAAAGGAAATATATCGGTATCTGCATCAGCTCTTGGCGAAAATTAGGTTGAAAATTTCGGCATATCGTATGTCGGCAAAAGTCCAATATCGTGCATCCCTATTGACTTGTAGGCTTGTTAAATTTTACGGTGATACCAGTAATAAATGGTATAAGGGAGGAGACTGAAAAGGGCAAAACCTAAATAAAACTTACAGTTCTTCAATGAGTAGAATATCATTACATAATGTAACATCACCTAATGAAGAGTTTGTGTCTCGTAAAACTATAAAATAACTAAACATTGCAGAGGTATTGATCTAGCTGCTTTTCAAAGTCAGGACAATTGTCAACAAAAGTTATCTGTTTGGCAAGATGGTTGAGATCTGGTGGACAATACAGAATTTGATCTGATCAGTTTAATCTTTTAGTTTTATTTTTTTTATTATTTAAAGTAAATTTAAAGAAATGCATCAATTAAGATATTAGATATTAAGCAAATAAATATGCAAAATAATTTTAATCATCTGTTACACAAAACGTTAATTCTCCAATATAGTGGTCAAAAATTGCTTGGTTTAGAAATATTATGAAAATGTTGTTTCTACTGCAACTATTTATTAAAATGGTCATCTATTTGACACACACCAAGTGAGCAAATAACACTGCAGCATGCCATGAAGTTGTGGATTCTGCATACTAATGGAAACACTGAAATTCATTGTTGAATGCAGTGAAATCAGTCTCTATGACTAACCACATGAAAGTGCAAATGTGTGTGATATCTACATACAAACATTTTCTCAAACTTTCAAAATAAAATTTACTGTAAATGTCTGAAAAAAACAAGGGACCACTGAAAACACACAAAAATCACATTCTCATGGTGACATTATAAACGTGTTAAAGAGTTTATGCATATATATTTAATCCTACATATTTCATATTATATATAGATGGATAGATATGATTTATCCAAATTACTAACTTTAGGCATGCATGAAAATAATACAGAATTAAAATGCTTAAATATGCTGTCATTCGAAAAAAAAGCATTTGATTGGACAAATTATTTACATTTGTGTATCTGCTTGAAGATTTTTGTTCATTGTTGTTTTAAAGTGACAGTATAAATGTGAGATTTTACTTCTACAGAAGTGCTGTGTGATCCAGCAGTCACGGCCCTATTGTCTGACACCAAGGTGACTAAGTTTGGATTTGTACATTTGCACATATAGCTTGTAGCGTTCTGCAAGCACAGTGTGTGGTGTTTAATGCTGTGTGATGTTTTTTTTTTCTGTTTTAGGCAGCTGGAGAGGTCAAGGCTTTGGAAGACTTTTACAAGATGCTTCAACAGGAGCCTGATCGAGCTTTCTATGGGTGATCAAAGTCACTACCATTTAAATTCATTCCTGTCAATATTACACAGAATCTCAATGAGAAGAAAAAAAAAACATTGGTAACACTTTATTTTGATAGTCCACTTTAGACATTCTATTAACTGTATGAAACTTTGCAACTACCAGCCATTAGAGTATTAGTAGACTAATATCTGCTAACACTTTATTTTGAAGGACCCCCATCAGACTTTCGACTGTAAGTATCTTTGCAAGTATGTCAAATTATTATTCTACTAATACTCTAATGAGAGTTAGTTGACATGTAGTAGCACTAGCAACGTTACTTCTATAGTCAGTAGAATGTCTAAAGTGGACTGTGTAACCAAAACATTTGTGCTATGTAACATGTTCTTGAGACATTGTTTTAAACAGTCTTTACATCTATTAATAAAGCTTTTGCTTTGTACAGATTGGCTCATGTGGAAAGAGCGAGTGAAGCTTTAGCCATTGACATCTTGATGATCAGTGACAAACTATTTAGGTACACTTAAAAAGTAATACAGTCCTAATGTAATGGTCTTTTCTGTTTTAATTGTGTACTTCATTAAAAAAAAGTGTGTGTGTGTATTTTTTCTTTTTCATGGCAGACATCAAGACATAGCCACCCGCAGCCGGTATGTTCGGCTTGTAGACAACGTGAAGGAAAATGGAGGAAATGTCAGGTATTCATATGATTTTCAATCCAGTAAGGCCATATTCTTATATTATGCAAAATATTTAGCTCTTTTTACATTTTTGTTTCTCCTGTTTAATAATATTTTTTAGAATCTTCTCAAGCCTACATGTATCTGGAGAACGTAAGTTTCATTTCTATAGTCTTTGTTTCAGAGAGAATTATATTGGCTCATCATGTGACTGACGTGTTCTTTGTCTCTGTAGAATTGAATCAGCTGAGTGGAGTGGTGGCCGTCCTGAGGTTCCCCATCGCTGACATGTCTGAAGCTGAGGAGGACAGCAGCTCTGATGAAGACTAACATCATGCTCTTGTGCAAAAGGATTTGGTATGAAAGGGTGGAAATGCTTCACAGTTTGGACTAAATGGAATGAAACTCAGTTATGGCCTTAATAAAGGTTTTGAAATCAGTTGAAACCTCACAAAACACCAGTATAATTGATTATTTGGAGTGATTATTAAGATGGAAAGCTGAAGAATTCAAAGAAAGTACCATGGCATAAACAACTGATACCATTTTACCATAGTACCATCATCACACTTTGGGTTTTACAGTAATTTCCCTGCAGTTCTTTAAATATCATGATGAATTATCAGTCTTTAAGTTTATTCACCGGGACAGTGATATCCCTTTAACCATGTTAAATCCTCCAGTGTGCCCCAGTGTAAGTACACAATGGACAGGACGACCATGATGTGCATAATCTGGTGACTATTAAACCAGTAGTCAAACCCTCCAGGACTGAAGCGCTCTGGAAGGCGGGAAATATTGACTAGTCCTCCTAGCAATGCAAGAGTATCCATGGTGAGGTAGAGGCGAAGGGATGCGGGGCTTCCTCTGCCTGCACCAGTCAGACGCAACATAAAGAGAACGAACCGGAAGATCGCCTGCCAGGCGAAGGATTGCAGGCGGTGCACATTACTCTGAGCAGAGACAGCGCAGTGAACACCATAGCCAGAGAGAAGGAGATATGCCAACATCGCCACACGGCGGGAGGATGGGTAACACAACAAAGTTATGTGAATGATTGGCAGAGCACCTGCAAAAAGAAAAGTACAGGGAATTCATTGAATAATGGCTCTTGAAAGAATCAACAATCAGTGTCCCCTGCTGAAAAGAAAAAAAACTGATAAAACCTGGTTGGCTGGTCTTCCAGCCTGGCTGAGCTGGTTTTAGCTGGTTGGTCAGCTAGTCTCCCAACTAGAAGTGGTCAAAAGCCCTCTAAAACCAATCAACCAGCTTAGGCTAGGTCAGGGGTAGGCAAATTCGGTCCTAGAGAGCCGCAGTCCTGCAGAGTTCAGCTCCAACCCTGAAAGCAAAACTCACCTACCTATAGCCTTAGTAATCCTGAAGACATTGATTAGGACCAAACTTGCCTACCCCTGGGCTAGGTTTAGCTTTTTCTTTTTTCCAGCAGGGTCGGCACCGCGAGAATGCAATTTCAACCAAGGGTGACCTCCCTTTGGAATGCGATTTCGAGGCCCCCTTTAGAAATACAAATGCCCCAATAAGTGTAATAGTTCCCACATTTAGATTTCATTTGAAACTTGCTACAAAACAGTACCAACTTTGTGGGAACAGTTTGAGTTCTATTCCAGCATGACTGTGGCCCAGAGCACAAAGCAAGGTAAAGACATGGTAGGATGAGTCTGGTATGGAAGAACTTGACTGGCCTGCATAGAACCCTGACGTCAACCTCATGAAACACTTTTGGGAAGGGAGATCGCAAGCCGGACCTTCTTGTCCAACATCAGTGTCTGACCTCACAAAAACACAAAATCAAAATCTTGTAGAAAGCCTTCCCAGAAGATTAGAAGCTATTATAGCTGCAAAGAAGGGACCAGCTCTATATTAATGTCTCTGTATTTAAAATGCAATATCATTAAAATCCCTGTTGTTGTAATGGTCAGGTATCCCAATGTTTTTTCCATGTAGTACATTTGATACATCAGAATTTTATGGCTCATATAGCATGCTGTAAGAAAATATGGAGCTCGAGGAGGGAAAAAAAAACACCTCAGTTTTTTTCATAGGCACAAACTGAGCAAAAATTGCTGATATTTATATGGTAAAAAAAACAAAAAAAACAAGACAAATTTCTGATAGCTTGTAATGTAAAATGTAAATCAATTGGAACCTTTTAATAGTATAGCAGACTACTTACATAAATAGCATATAAATATCAATTGTCACTCCATACCTCCCAATAATATGTTTTAGTAAGATGATATTTAAATGCTTAGTTTTATGATAAATGCTCTGTAGTTTTATTGCATGGGGCAAATCAATGCAATGCAATACAGTGATTGAGAAGTAAAGACTTGCCTGATGTATCATATTTGATACATTTTTAACATGATTAAAACATGTATGGATAATCAGGTATATCTTAAGTTGCTTCAGTCCAGTAATTATTAATCTTGTAATATTACTAACAATATGAAAGTTATTCTTGCATTTAATTTGTAAAGATTTCACAGCAAAAACTCACGTTACTGAATAGAGACATTTTCAGAATTATACTAAAAGGCCCTTTACTTGCTCAAAACTATCAATCAGATGGCAGAAGGCATGTAGCAGATTTTGAACAACAGGTTTTTCTGCAAAGTTTAGAAATTTGTGTATCAAATATAATAGTATGCTTTAGAGTTAACATGACCTTTTAACACCGAGACATACATTAAAACATATTATTTCTTAATTCTAAAATCCAACAAAATTCCAAAGAAAATCTATAAAAAATTTCCAAGAGCTTCAAAAATATTGGCCTCCAGAATTTTTCCTGCACTTTTACCAATCACAGCAATTACACAGCATCACTTCCAAGACAGCAATCTTCCCTGACGAGGATTAGATCTAATCTCCTGTAATGCTATTTACGCACCCTTCCGTAGAGTGTCACTGGGTGAATGGTGGAGAAAGTAAGTACATATTCAGAAGGTTCCCCTTCTCTGTAAGAGGGCCACTGGTTTCCCCCACCTTGTTTCAATAACTTTCCCATTAGTGGGATAATGCAGGCATTCTAAATTTAATTTTTACATCTGCAAAAATCATGTACAGCTCCCTTACTTTAGAGAAGATGGTATGTAAAACTAATTCCAGAAGTTACAATGCAAATTATGGAGGATATTTTTCATACCATGTGTATAGATGTTCCCAAATTCATTGTGCAGATAGAACAAACTTCGCAGACAGTCTCTGTAAGTGGATATAGGCCGGTATCCTGTCAGGACATACTTGTTGAACTGAAGATGTGGCGGTGAATTCTTAAAATCCCGAAGTTTTGGCCCAGTAAAAATATCCATGGCAGGAAAAGGTAAAATATGCTCAGGAGTCCTTGACCACCTTCCCCTGGGAGGAAAGTCTGTATCACTTCAAATGTTTTAAATCAATTATGCTATAAATACATAGTTTTTAAGAGCATTCTAGCTAGTGATGGCAAAAGTTGTGACTTTCTGGCACCAGATATCCATTGTCTTGGAAATACTCGGGTGTAGATCTGCAGCAACTTGTTGCTTGCAAAGAAGCTGTGGGCCAATTTACTGCTACTTAGTGTCTTAGCCAATCAGCAGGCAGCAGTCAGACTCAGCAGAGGTCAGCTCATGGAAGATTACAGTTCCTTAAGTACAAACGCTAGCCTACCGGCAGACTTTGACACATTCTTTTTTTTATTTCTTATTACCCACATTTGTTTCAATATGATAATCCCAGGACATCTTTTGGTGCTATAGTCCAGGGAAAGGTTTAAAGACTTAAACAAGGTTTGGATTTAGAGTTTATTTATATACATACATAGCCTTGCCACAGGAAATTAAAAAGAAATAAATAACAATGGCTTCTGGAAACAAAATAACACACATCTACACGAAACAAAATACATAAAATACATTTTTTGTATTACAAAAGTATAGACAAATATGGAATGTAAAGAAACAATGAAAAGAAAGAAAGATGCATAAGTTACAATCATTTATAATCTATAATGTCTTTATTTTACAAGCAGCTATATAATTTCAAGCAGGGTAACAAACATTGAGATACAAAACTAGAAGTTAAGGAGAACAAAAGACTCACATAAAACGATAGAAAATGTACAACATTCACAGAAACATTAAGTGTAAAATGGAGAAATTAAGTGAAGATCCACATTTTTGCAATATGAATGGCCACTTCCAAATTATCCTTAGGAGAGAAACAGAGGCATGATGAGCTGGAAAAGGTGACACATTGCTATTATTCATATGATTTAAATTTTATTAATGTTAAATATCTATACACATTATCCATACCTTGGTATTTATTTCCAAAGAATCCATTCAATTTGTATTTGCCTTCCTTTTCTGTTAAAAAGAGCCAACGTTTAATGCACAAAGTTTAGAAATTATGCCACATTTACATTTTTAGGTTATGTTTGTTTGTTTTATTTTGATAGAAAATACGATATGCATTAAACTGTGCATTTAAGTATTAAATGTCAGTAATTGTGGTAAATCATTGATATTCAAATAGTTACATATTTATAATAATGAGAATTAGAAATTATTCTGAAAATGAATATAGTTCAATAGTCTAGCTGTTGTTAGTTGCCAGTCGACATAATGTGTAATCACAAGTGAGCATCTATTAGGATTTTACCTGTCTGGGAGTTGCCTTATGGGTGGAAGTGGAACTTGAGGTGCTGCTGGATGTGGATCTGTTAAGGTGGTGCTGGCTGCTGCTTTAGAGTGGGCAGCTCAGGCTGAGGGAATACGGGTGAGGCAGGCACCTCAGAAACAGTAGACACATCAGGCACAGAGACAGGGGCCAGGGAGGAAGCATCCAGAGTGGTGTCAAATGAGGTGACAGCTGGAATGTGAGGAGCGGAGCCCACAGTGGGAACCCCAGGGAAAGAGACTTCTGCAAAACAAAATCGGTAAATACCAAACATTCACATAAACATCAAAGTTTTGAACATTTCTTTTACATTCTGGTTGTACTCTTCCTTCGGTATAACCACCCGTTCCTTGAACAAAGAGGGTGAAATGTGAGGAATATTTATATGCATATTTACACACTGCATACCTGTAGATACATTCAGTGTCAACAAATGCTTGTACCGTATTTGTCAATGGATTGTGCATTCGCCTCTCCAGCTCCTGGAATATCAGGATGGGGTGGAATCTCTCCATCTCCTGAATCAAGCACAGATACACAGAAAGACTCAAAGAACTGGCTGTGTGTACAAGACACAGATCCAATCTTTTGACCATATCCATTTTTTTCTCCCGTCTGTATACATTCATATAAGACACTCATATCTGTTAACATTAATCCCTACTTATGATGACCTCTTTCAATGACATTGTTGACCCTCTGGTTTTGAATGGGTGTATAATAAAAAAATATATAATTCACGTCAGGTGATTATTT